ATGCTGAAAAATATTAATTTCAATAATTTTTGGTGTTAAAATGTCAAGAAAAATGGTAAGGACTAAACCGGAAATTATTTTACCTAAAGGGGTGAAAAAGTAAATTTACAAAATTAAGGGGGGTTGTAAACAGAAAATTTTCAAGGGTAATTCAATACACTCGTTGTGAACAAAGATTGACACTACGACTCTCGATAAATTACAATACACAATATCACCAACAATCGTTATCAAACGAATTGATTCGGTCTCGAATCAATAACAAATCCAAAACTACTAACACTATAACGCTCAATACACATATGAAACTCTTGGAACTCTTTACTCTCGTGGAATTACTCAATACGTCGACGTACACTCCTTAGGCCCAAAAGTTGCAAATCATGCTTGTCGCGCCTAGCTAGCCCGATGACATGATCTTTAGGCCCAAAGGACACTTGCTTACATGTAGGTGGGTCTAATACGACTCGACCGCGCGTAAGAGGACTTTCAATGGCAAACATGCTGCTGGTCCCCCAGGGTCCTTCAGTGCTGCTAGTAAAGTCGGTAACTCACGATTGCGGGATGGGCTTCGGGCCCTTCGCAATTGCAATGGTCTTGAACGACGCAGGGAATTACCGAGGGTTTCGCACCTTCACTTTTTCTCTCCGGTCGTAGGACTACACAAGTCCGGGAGGATTGAGTTGTGTGAATAAGTGCGAGTGATGCCTAAGGGATCACTAGCACGGTTGCCAATTGGACATTTTCATTAACGTACGATACAACAATTCACCACCCTCTGTATACTCAATGCCTCCGGAGCTCAACGAATACCTCTAACGTAACGAAATAACAGTACCCAAAATAACTAAAGCAAAGTGATAGGAAAACGTCGGGTTTTCCTAGGGTTTTCAACAAGTACACTTACGAACTACATACCGAGTTTTACAAACCATACGCTTACATCTATAGAAAACAAACAAGCATACTTACGGATCTTCACACTTTTTACACTATACTATTTTCAGAAAATATCGGATTTTCTGGTGGTTTTCGAAACAATACAAACATTGGATTTCAAACATTACTTATGAACTCACCAACATTTCATATGTTGACGTTTTTCAAAATACTTGTATTCTCAGGTAAAGATAAAACGAAGGGATAAGTGTACTCAGTGACGTTTTGTTGCTTGTTTAATTAGCACCGAACAATCTACTTTTTGGGCATGTAATGTTAGGGAACAATGTACTAAATGTAAACATTACCAGTTGTATTATTCCAATGCTTGGTGATGTATGATGTTATGTTTCATGTATATTCATTGTGATGGTATTCAATTGAGTCACAACAGCCCCCGGACGTTTCCGCCGTCTGGTTCGGGGGTGTGACATTTTACTCGACGGGTTACCACTGATCACGAATCGCGGAGCAACACGATCCGACTCGTCGAGTCTTCTCATGGACTCGGTGAGTTTCCTCCGTGACAATGCTCAAGCGACCTTCTGAGGTCAGATCTGTTTCTCTAACTTATAAATCTGACCTTCTGCCAAGGACAATCTAAGGTTCGCCAAGGATTGGTCGCTTGTGGACAGTTGAAAGTATAGTCATGGATGGACCATATTGACATTATTATGAATAGATAAGATTCTATTTAGAATGAGTTGTCATGTGGAAAATATGGAAACGTTTCCATATTAGGAGTTGGATATCGAGAATAAATGTCTAGATTAGAAACTTTTATGCGAGAAGGATGTTCAAAGGAATGTACTTTGAATGTGAGACTTCATCACTATGGAATTGTCTTCGATTAGAGTGTTTTTGTAATTTCATTGGCCGAGTCTTGGTGACTTCTGTGCCATGACATTGCAAAAAGGAATGTTGCATGAAATGTTAGAATCTTACATATTCTAGTAGTGACAAGAATTTTGTATTCTTACACTAATGGATTAGGAATTGTGAAATGGGTGTGATTGAAAATGTTATTCAATTATACTATTTCACAAAGTAAGGACCATAGGTAAAGATAGTGTGCATGCTAAGAGCATTGGACAATTGTTGTTATAATTCAAGTAAGAAGTTGATTACCCGAAACAACAAATAATGAGTAATCAATATGATGATTAAATAAAATGTTTTATTTATACCCGGAGTTTGGGGTCATATGGGATTAGTATTATTCTTGTGTTTCACTTTGCATGTTTTGACTTCCTGAATAATTAAATTATTTCAGAATAATCAAATTATTCGAACGGTCCACAATCGTTCATATGTTGGAAGTAGGTATGAATGAAGACTGTCGTGAATTGGTGTGTGGATTGTCTAAAGTGTATTAGACATAAGCAAATGTTTGCTGCAACATTCATGAGTGCTTATGAATATGATTTGAGCATTGGATTAAACCCACACTCACTTGGATCACTTCATGGATTTTATCACGAGTGATTGGTGAGACGATAACATCTTATATTCTTGAAACCAAGACGTGTGAGTGGTATTTTGCGAGTCGGTTACACATTGATAATATGTAAACGCACCAGTAACTTGGTGTTATAAAACGTATTGTTGTGTGTGATTCGGTAAGTGAGTACAAGCGAACATTGAGTCGAAGTTTATCCATTTCTACATACAGATAACAAGAGTATCATATCAAATAATTATTTTGTATAGTTATTTATACTCTACTCAGTATACAAATGATTTCAAACATGAGAACAAAAGAACAACATGTAATCTAGTCAATACATGATTTTGAGACATCTCTTCATTATACCCTTCGGGGTACTGGTGAATCCTCTACATTTAGTATACCCAGAGAATCCTGGAGGGAAAGCGTGAGATTTGTGAATAGATCTATCCGGGACCAACAATCCTACACTTGAATTGTTAGCTACAGTTAAGCAGGCATGCCTGGGGTGACAAATTTTGTAACATACGACGCCTGAAGAAACGTCGCGGAGGTCATCAGTCACATTAGCATGGCTATACGAACTCACAATAGTATAAACTAACATTTGTTTACAGGATTATCATTCTTCAATAGTTTTATTTTAATTAATAAGACTACCTACATACACTGGAGGGTATTCCAGGGATTCCTCACTTGGTTTTATTTTAAGTAATAAGACTACTTTACATATTGGCGATAGTCAGGGTTTTCAAACAAGAACATACATACTGGTAGCCAGGGTTTTCAAACGGATCGTACTATTCATATTGAAATCAACAAACATTATAGAAAATATCGGATTTTCTAGAAAAGCAAACAAACATTTATACAAATTAAGTGACTGGTTTTAAATTCAAAACATACTTATGAACTCACTAGCTTTATGCTGATACGTTTTCAAAATCGTTTGTATTCTCATGACAATAATAGACTGGCACCCTTGCCAACTTTTAGAGAAGGCGGAGCATTTTGGAGTCTCATCTTTATCTTTTGCTACTTTTGATATATATACAAACCTGTACCAAACAACAATGTAAATATTTATATTATATTGTAATGGTTGTGTTTACTTTGATTACTATGATGCAGTTGTTATGATACTACATATGACACCATCCACCTCCGAACATTTCCGCCATTTGTTTTTACGGTTCGGGGGTGTGACATCTTCTTATAAAACTTTCGTTTCTCTTCAGCTTGCTCAAAAAGCTAAGAAACATATCTGAAAAATTGGTTTTCCATCTCTAGGCTTTTAAAGAAAGCACCAAATAAACAACTTGAATGAAGTTATATACATAAAATTGTAAACTGAGGGTGGGTTCTTTGATAAAAATAACTAGAGATAAGATAAATAACCACAAAATTTTCTCTTATTCTCAAGTTGTTTGATAAAACATAAATATAAACAAAGATGGGTTAAGAGCTCATAACAACCTCTTTTTCTCCCACTTACTTAAAAACCCATTAAAATATAGATGAAAATTAGATCTGATAAAGACTTTTAAAACTTGAGAGTTGCTCAAATGAACTAAAATGAAACACATCTAGATATCTGAGCAAAAACGAGGTAGATCTGAAGATCTAAGCGAGAAAAACTCAAAAAATCAAGAGATTTGAACGAAAAAGTAAGCAAATCGAAAGATCTGTACAAAAAACTAAGCAAATCAAGATATATGAACGATGGTGAAGCAGATATTGGCAAGAGCCAAACAGATTTGAACAAATGGTGCTAAATGTGAACGAATCTGAGCAAACATGAGCTGAAAGCACAACATATCTGAATAGATATAGGCAAGAACGAGATGGTGGCTGCTCGTTCAAGTACGGGATGGTGCCAAATGATGTGACATAGAACTCTGACCAATTTCTCTGAGGATGTGCTTCTATGCCGGAGAGGATCTGCGAGGTCACAACAGACAAGGCCGTTAGATCCGCCCCAGGGACTGTGCCCTGGGAACGGACTCTAACGATCAAGTTAGATTAGCTAGTAGATATGAGATGGTTCTCCTTAGCTGGAGAGGACCATGTTGGTGCTGGTGGTGGTGTATGATGGCTGACGGTGGCGGGTGGCGGTTGAGCCACCCGGATGGAGTACAATGTGGCGGCTGAGCCATGGGGGAAGTCTAGTGGCGGCTGAGCCTCTTGGGAAAAGGTTCCCTTCCATAGAGGAGACATTGCTCTATTTATAGTGGACAATTAGGTCAATGGGAATTAGGTCAAAGGGAATTAGGTTAGGCCTTAGGCCGACCCAATTCAGGCCCAACTAACAAGGAGTTGGGCAAAGCCGTTCGGAGGTGTCGGGCGGGTCTAGCGGGTGCGCGCCAGGCAAGGCTAGCAAGCACGCAATAGGAAAGGCCGACAAGGGGGTGTCATGCTAGGGAACGTCAGGTCGGGCCAACAGGAGAGTCCCCAGCAAGGCTGACAAAGGAGTCTCCAACAAGGCTGACAAAGGAGCGCCTGGCAAGGCTGGCGTGACAGAGTTGTCTAGGCCATGCTAATGGACCATATGTCATCACCTTGCATTTTAAGTTAGGTTTCCTGATCAAGTCCTTCACAAAAATTGCCTTGCTAACTAAGTAGATTTCATAAGCTTTGAATTGCTAAAACTCCTAACACATGTATGTAGGTCTACAATCTTTTTTACTTGGGATGACCTCTCAGTACTCGTCCAAGAAACCCTAACCATGAATGGGCACTTCTTTGGATCGCTACCATATATTGCCACTGGTCTAACACCATCACACTTTTTGAAATGAATTTGATAACCCTTACTAATAACATGGTTAGTTAAACATAATTTCAACTCATGTGGGGATTCATACCTTTCACGAAACACCTGTTTCATTATGTTCCATTTCACATTTGGGTGGTGGGTAGAATACTCAAAACCATCATCGATATCTTCTTCATCACTACCTTGCACATACTCCGAGTCCGATTCTTGGTTATTGTTTTGAATTTGAGCATTGTTTTGAGCTTGAACACTATTTGGATTTTTCCGATGATTTCCCATTTAAATAATTAGGGTAAATTACACCATTTGTCCCTCGTGCATGTGGCAAAACGCACATTTAGTTCTTATTTTTAAAAATTAACTCAAACCGTCACTCATTAGTTTAAAACTTACATACCTCATCCCTCCGGACATAAAAAGACCATTTTTCCCTTATTTATTTCCTTTTTGATTTGTTATTAATTATTAATCTATTAAAAAATGTTTAATTAAATATAAACACCATCACTGCTATTGATTAAATGTCATATTTCTTCCCAGTTCTTTCTCAACTTTAGCTACCACCACCTATCACTACTTATGACCACCGTCAACCACCACTTATCACCACATAGGGTGTGCAAAAAACCGCATAAACCGCACAAACCGCCCACACCATAATGCGGTTTAGAATTTCACGGTGGGATTTGCGGTTCGTAATTTTGTCAAACCGCACTATGTGGTGCAGTTTGCGGTTTATAGTTACCAAACCGCGGTTCGAACCACACCACATCATATATATATATATATATATATGTGTGTGTGTATATATATATATATATATATATATATATATATATATATATATATATATATATCAAAGTTTCCAATCACCAAATGCTTCATATTGTCCAATAACTTTTTTCTATATCACGATGGTTAAATATGATAATTAAAGATTTAAAAGACTATATATATATATATATCAAAGTTTCCAATCACCAAATGCTTCATAGTCCAATAACTTTTTTCTATATCACGATGGTTAAATATGATAATTAAAGATTTAAAAGACTATGATATCAAATTTCATAAGTCATAACAACTTAGCAAAACATTATGTGGTTTTTTTGTTTGCAATATCTATGTCTTTTAAAGGGTATGCAATATAATTAATAAAATTTGAAAGTGTTTAAATGGAATGAATACCAACCAAAGTTATAAACTGAAACAACTTATCAAACCGCATAAACCGCACAAATCGCCCGCATGAAATCGCACCGCATAATGCGGTTTAGAGCTTTTGTGGTGCGGTTTGCGGTTTCCAAAAAACTCAAACCGCATGTGCGGTGCGGTTTGCGGTTTCAACTCTAAACCGCACAACTGCATCGCGAACACCCCGATCACCACCAGAAACAACCACTTTTCACTCCTATTTCTCTCCCACCACCTATTTTGGAAGATATGCATTATGTCCGTCCACCATTGAACACATCCCACATTTTCCTTACCAAAAATCCGGCGGCCACCTAAATTTAATAAACAAGAAGTTGAAATCAAATATAACTAAACCCTAAACATGAAAATCAAACTATAAACCTATAAATCGAAACCCATAAGTTACAATATAAGAAATAGGATTCATATTGACCCATGTTCAAATCCTAGCACCACTCAACCCTTGTGGCCATGGAGGTTCACCTGCAGTGACTCCAGGGCATGAGGCAAAGCTTTATGTTTGCAGCGGGGGATTAGTCGGTGTGCGAAAGCTGGCCCGGAAACCCTCGTTAGGGAAGTTCCCTTTAAAAAAAAAAGAGGATTCAAAATAAAACGCATTGGTGGTCACCTCAAATCCCGTTGTTATCAAAGAACCTCATATCGATGATGCTGAGCACCACCAAACGTGAAGAACCTGACCTCCGACAACCACCACTTCATCTTGCTCACTTTATTTCTAGTGTTACTATCCCCAGACAAGCGGTGGAGCTTGATCTGAAACCCTAGATGCGGTTCGAAGCCCTACGCAGCGACAACGTCTTCATCTTTATGTAGAACCCACCAGAAACCACCTCTCCCCCTCTACGATGCCATTGATCTGGACTTTACTCTTTTTTTTTCCAACATCATCTCCATCAATGGTTTGGATTCAAAGAAAGGTGACATGAGTGGCAGAGACGGAGAGGGGACCGCCGGAGATAGTAGTCTTGGTCCATATAGAGAGGGGATTGTCAGATTCACTATGGTGAGTCTATTTCATCTAAACATGACATCGAACAAGCAACAATTACAACAAACCTTCTTTCGTTAAAGAAGCAGATCGAATATTAGAATCCGAGAAGAGGCATTGATATGAAATTGATATCCTCGTTTCTAAGGCTGAGGGAGTTGGTTGGAGATGGTGATAGATGGAGATAAAAGGTTCACCTTAGGTGGAGATGATGGTGGTGGCCGACGATTTGGGTCTCTATTTTCCATCTCATCGAATCTGTGTGTTTATTTCTGATTAGAAGCATGGGGAAGGTGAAGGGGCTTTATTTAAATAATAATAATAAGGGTAAAACATTAAATTAATTATAAAATAAAAACATAAGGGTATTATCGTCATTTTAATTCTGGAACAGATTAAGTTTGCAATAAAATTGCATTTGAGGGATGAAACGTGCAAGTTGAAACCAAGCGAAGGACAATCCGAGTTAAAATTTTAAAATAAATACTATATGTGCATTTTAACAAATGTAATTTCCCTAAATAATTAAGTTTGAAAGTAAAATTAATCCTAAACAATTTTTATCAATCTCTGGGCACACAATTGGTCCGGTATGTACCAAACAACAAATGCTATTATTGAGAGGGGTGTTTGGATAAATAATTTTTAGCTTATTAGTTTATTACTTATTTGCTTATTATTGTGGAAATAAATATTTTTTTAAAATGTGTTTGGATTAATTTAGTGTAGTGAGAATAAACAATAAGCAATAAGCATTTTAAGTGTTTGGAAAAAAAAAACAATTTATATGAATAAAATGATCAATAATCAATAAACAATAAAGAAGCTAATTAAATTCAGTTTATTTAACTTATTAAGGTGATTTTTAAATTTTAAAGACTTTACGGGCACTTAAATTTCTTTTGCTGTCAATTTTTTCCCTGTCAAAAACCCTGAGATTTGAGATCCAAAAACCGGTGTAAATTTCAAAGGAATAAACTGTCTGCAACTGATACCCCCTCCAAATTCTCCGTTCATTACGGACATAACTTTCCCATTTCACACTTGCGTACATTCACAAAAAGATGTCCTCCGGTTGAGCATAAGGCGGTGGCAGCGAAATCCTCTTGACGGTTTGGGTAGGAACGTGTCCGTGGCAGTTTATGGCGGCGATAAAATGGCAATTGGATTCTGATTTTGGTTATTAAGCTACCAATATCGGGATTTGATGGGAATTTGCAGTAGTTTCAGAACAGTGATTACAAGTGTCTGCACATGTGGAGAAGGTAACAAACTAACAATTCCTTCTCTATATATAATAACTCAGACTACCGTGGATCACTTTTGTTGGAGTTGCACCATGAACTCTTCATTCCAAATCACTATATAATTCTATTCTGTATCCACGGCAAATTCTATATGTATCAATCTGCAGCGATCATGAAAGTTACCCTTATATATGGCTATTTGTTTTTTCGTTTGTACAAAGCTAAAGAGGATATGGCGATTAGACGTTTATAAAGAAAAAAAACTGTGCTATATCTCATTCCATTCAGGGAATCATCTTATATAATGTCATTTTGCTATATCTCATTCCATTCAGGGAATCATCACGAAGGACTTGGACCAATGTCTTGTATGGGTGTACGATTGCGGATTCAAGATCACCATGTAACTTCATCCGCTTTTCTCATTTTTTTTTTTTTTTTTTTGGGGTTATTCAGCGTAATGGTCCTTTCAGGTGGTGATTGATAATGGCATACTGCAAGTGACATTATCGAAACCAGAAGGCCTTGTGACTGGGGTTCGATACAATGGCCTTGACAACATCCTTGAGGTTCTTAATCACGAAGGTAACAGAGGGTAAGTTGCAATCCAAACCAAAGTTTTACATTTCAACTTGTAGCTTCAGGCTATCAGTGGTATACAAATTTATTTATGAAATAAAATAAATAAATAATGCAGGTATTGGGACATTGTGTGGAGTGCTCTAGATGACTCAGGAAGAAAAGGAGTATTTGAAGTGTACGTTGCTATTCTGAAAATTTCCCTATAAATATTTGGATAGAAAAGTGAAAGAAGTTGTACATTTCCCATAGTGATTGCATTTTGTTGCAGGATCAAAGGAACAAGCTTTAAGGTTATAGTGGAAACAGAGGAACAAGTAGAGGTGTCTTTTTCAAGACCTTGGGATCCTTCCCTTTGGGGAAAAGTTGCTCCTATAAACATAGACAAGAGGTTATCGATTTTGTCTTCTATGATGGTTTCTAGTCAATGAGGGAAAGCGATTGTAATTTTTTTTTTTTAGGTTTGTTATGCTTCGTGGTTCCTCTGGTTTCTATTCGTATGCCATTTACGAACACTTGGGTTCTGAAGAATGGCAAGCTTTCAGTCTTGGAGAAACGCGAATTGCATTCAAACTTAGAAAAGACAAGTAAGTAAAGTTAGTAAACTACATATTCTATTTTCAATCAACTCATGCAAAGTTGTCCCGACTTTTTTGTCCAACTGACATCAGTCCCAGTCCCAGTCTAATGAATGAAAAATGTAGTACAAGATCACGTGTTGTATCTTGTCCTACAAAACAAAGTGTGGGATTTTGAATTATGAATTATGAGTTTTAGGGTTTGGGTAGGTTTCATTACATGGCAGTAGCAGATGATAGAAGAAGATACATGCCCTTGCCAGAGGATCGACTACCAGGAAGAGCCCAGCCCCTTGCCTACCAGGAAGCTGTTTCACTTGTCAACCCAGTCGTGCCTGCCTTCAAAGGAGAGGTCTTTTTTTTTTTTTACAAGTTCAAAAATCAAAATATTAATGGTGTGCTTGTGCTTGTGTAGGTGGATGACAAGTATCAATACACTTGTGAAAACAGGAACCTCATGGTACATGGCTGGATATCCAATGATCCTCCAATAGGGTTTTGGCAAATTACACCCAGCAATGAGTTCCGCACTGGTGGCCCTCTCAAGCAGAATCTCTGTTCCCATGTGGGCCCCACTTGCTTAGCTGTAACTACCTACCTTCAATTATAGCATTAATATTTGTTAGTAGGACAGTATACTTTAAAAAACTGCTTTGTATTTGAATAAAA